TTCCTAAACATTTTTCCTGGTTTTAATCCATCAGTAAAACCATCCACCAGACTTGGACGCCACCTTTCTTTTCACCGAACCCCAGCAGCAAAAGAACCCCTGGACATCCAGTCCCAATTGCCCAAAACACATGGATGTTTCCACAGTCCTAACCACAGTAACCACAGGTTAGGTCAACGATCAAGGATCTCAATTGCAAAATTGGAGCAAGATCTACAGTTAGCTAGTTGGTTGTTATCAAGTCTTAAAATATGATCCTTGACAGCTATGCAACAAGATCCATAGATCCTGAACATGCCATTTTGTCCCAAGTGTTTCTGGGACTGGGGAAACCTCATGAAACCTCCAGGTCTTGAATCCATCGGGTCTTCCAGCACGTGCTGGGACCTCTGCCGAGGTTCAACTCGATGGCCGTGACCTTCCTGTACAATTTGGATGACATCGCACCGTGGTCTAAAATGGTCGTGGTCGGTCACCAGGTCCGTGGTCGGTGGCTGGTTCCAAATCCGGTGGATTGGGTGCTTTGTTTGGTTGTCTTCTTTGGGTTGTTCCTCGGCGGTCCGCCGGTCCTCCCGGTGTCTTCAGACCTCCGGGCTTCACCCGCTCCGCGGAAGACCCGGAGCGGAGACCCGGAGCGGTGAGGGCACAGGAGACCTCGGAGACGAAGGGACTTTGGGTTCAGAAGGACTCATTGACATGAGGCATCCTGAGGCATCCTGAGGCATCCTGAGGCATCCTGTGACTGCTACTGTCCGAGGTTTTTAACAGCTGGTGATGGATGGAGGGGACGGAACGGTTCCGTTTGGGACGAACACGCGTTCCGCGCACGACGAACAGGCCGCCGAAAGCACTCGATCCACCCCAGAAGCACTGCCCCGGCGGACGCCGAGGATGGCGAGATGGGCTTTCTGACGGATGAAGACTGGGACGGGGACGAGCTGGGAAAGCTCTACTACCAGGCGGTGGCAGAAGTCATGGATGAAGATGGCCTCATGGAAAAGGGCTACGATCCCGACACTAGCTAGTGATGGGCAGGGGGGTGGGGTGGATGTCTATGCGGTGGCAGACCATTGGGAAAGTCAGGAATCTGGCAAGCAAATGGACAAATCGCTATAGTCGGTCATTCTTTGAAGGACTCTTCGATTTGAAAGGAGCTGCACCTGCTGGGAAAAGACCCCACCCAGCACAGTCAGTTGGATGCAACCCCAGGAGAACATTGGGGTAAGGTCACCCTCACACATCGCATTTCGCCCTCACACATCACCACAAAGATCCTTTGTTTTCCATGCACAGTACACGGAAAACGAACGAGACACCTGAGGTAGGCAGTGTGGCTACAGAATATGCACCCTGACCAACTCCCTGCACCTGCCCAGGAGGTTCTTGGAGTCGTACAAGCTCACCAAAAAATATAAGGGATAGCCCCGCCAACCAAGAGCTCCTCCAAGCTGGCCGCAAGTTGAGAGGCACATCTTAGGAACTAGGAGTCCCACAAAGTGGTTGGCTTCCTCAACATGTTCGGCAAAGACCATGTGAACACCGAGCGAGTTTTGACCGAACAACCTCTGGTTTACAGGGGTTTTCGGCTACACCATGTGAACACCGAACTCTCTGATGGGCCGAACGGGATACGGCGAAACGGGATACGCGGGATCCGTTCATTGGGGCAGCAAGTCGAAACGGTCATGTGTTTGCCGGCCCGAATCTTGGTAGTGTTTCGACTTTGTTTTGACCCAGACTTAGCTTTCTGAAGTGGTGCAATCGAAAAGCACTCCCATCAGGGACTCACTCCTCAGTGATGCCCCCCCCACCTAAAAGGGCGACTCGTGGGTGTGCCGACAACCGCGTCGATGGGGTGTTCAGAGATGTATTTAGTTCACCTGCCTTGGGGCCGAATCTGTAGGAATCTGTAGGAAATGATGTCAGGTGGTGAAAATTCGGCGGGGCACCACCCCTCGGCACGGACACCCTTGGGAGTGGTTCATGGACACCCCTCAGCACCCCTGTTCGGAGCTATTCATCGGCACGCGGAATCCGTGGTGCTGGCCAATGTGAGTCTGCTTGGTCCCCAATCTCCGCGGAAGTCGGCGTTTCGCATTGCCTTGACCACCGAGGATTCCATCGAAAAGTGCCCTCCGATGCGGAACAAGTACAATCACTGGACTTACAAAGTCGCCACGCCGGTGGCCCCTGGGATTGAGAGAAACCGAGAGTCTGGTTGACCCCAAACGGGTCAGAGTTACCGACCAATGGATTTCTGGAGTTGAGACTCAGGCGGTTGATACCTGGGTCCTGGGTCAGACTCGACCCGTAGGGTTCGATTCACTAGGTCCTTTGGATGAACAATCTCGGCCCAGTTTGCCAAGGAAATGCGGTTTGCTCGGGTTTTGTCCGATGCCACGCCGCCGTTGGCAGGTCAAATCGTTGCAGGTTCAGGGAAGAGCGTGATTTGTAGCGGAAGAGCGTGACCACACACCACACCAATGTCGTTTTCTTTGGGAAGGGTACCGATGTGCCTTGACCGAACAAAAGATACCGACCAGGTTGGGGGGAAGCAATCTGGACTGGGAATGGTCGACAAAACTGTCCCCTTTCCACTGCCTCGCATGGGTTCTTGAGAAGGTCACACGCACACACACGCACACTCTTCAGCTTTGCAGGTAACACACGTTGCAGTTTTTGCTTAGGTCTATGTGATGACCATACTCCTTCCCCTGATGTACATCTTTATTGATGATTTGCATTGCAAGCCCTACGGAGTGAAGGAAACAGTCATTGAACTGAAGGCACAGGTGCGCAGTCCGACGGGAACAATGGGGGAGCGCACGGGGAGCGAACGGTTAGACTAAATCCAAGAACATGGAGCCTTAGGTACTAGTAGCTTCTTTTTACTAGCAGGAATGGCCTTCAACCTAATAGCAATGGCATCCAACCTAGTAGCTTCTAGCCTACCTTCTACTGCTGAGCAGAACCAAATTTAGACCTTTGGTGTGACAATGTTCTCTCAAGTGTGCCGAGACCAGTTTTTCTTGAGATCCTTGTGCTCAGTACCTTCTTCAAAAGTGCTGCAATGAACACTGACCCAGGTCAATTTGACACTTCTCTTGTGATTCCCCCTGAAGCCCCGCAAAAATGTGGTTCAATATGATGATTCACATTCACCTTTGTGAAGAGTCAAGAGATTTTAATTGGACATGCGACACGTGCTGTGCCGTGACGTGCACTGATGAGTCACATCCTCGCTCGCTCGCCACGAAGCTCCAAACGCAGCGACACGAAGCCGGTTTTTCTTTTCTTTTTTTTTGTCCGATCGAACACCACGTAGTTCCAAGTAGCACTGGACATGGATCTTGCATGATCTTAGCTGGGCAAGTGGGGCCAGTGGGGCACGTCCATTCTGAAGTCTTTGGGCGAAAAAGGCATCGTCGTATCATCCCGAGGATCACTCCTCAAATCCCTCCGACACCGGGAAACCGGTCCGGTTGCACACCCTGTTTGGGTCGGCCCGTCGCATCGCGCCTTCGAGGGAGAGACCAGGGATGACCAGGGATGACCTTCGTCGACGCGTCGCGCTCTTCACGTCCAATGTTTTGGATCTCCAAGGTCGAGGATCTCGTTGCCCAGATCAAGGATCTTCAGTGAAGGGTGAAGCTTCAGCGGGGCTGGCCGGTGTGGCCCAAAGAAAAGCGAAAGAACGAACGTCACGGCACACAAGTGGAGCACTCTAACAAAATCAAGGCAAAAAGAAGTGGACTGGTGGCTGAAGTACGAAAAACATGGACCCACAAAGAAGACGGTGTTCAACTGGTGTACCATCCGGAAGCATCCCAGCGAAGTCACAACATCCCAGATCTTCTACAGTCATGTTGAGGTCACCACCAGCAATTGCTGGGAAGACTGTGTACCCAAATCAGCGATCTCACCTTCTGGCCTCTCTAGGAGCAGAAACCAGATGACTTCTGAAACTCAATCCTTGATTCACATCTCATCAAAACCAGTGGAACTAAGCGAACCAACAGCTCAGTGGTGGCCTTCTTGCGGCTTTTCTTTTCTTCTCTATATTCTTTTTCACCATGGTCCCACGGCCCCCCGCCAGAATGCATGGAAATCCATCAGCTGACCGGTTGATGTTCCCTTGAAACCCTGGAATTAAGGATTGAAGATCCAATGTGGTCGCCATGGCACTGTGCTTGCACGGGTTTAAAAGGCATGCTTGAGTCAGTCCTGTATGGACCAGTCCTCGGAATTCAGGCGTTTGATTCTTATGAGGTCCTTCCGTTTTGGTATGACGTCATTGCCATCTCAGTGACGAACCCCTTTCCGTTGCGGTGCAAACTAGGCAACAAAAGCAGTGTCCGGGACCTTCTCTTCAAGCACGGACGCCCCGGGGGGCACTCGTTCCGCTCAGGGCACAGGCGGAACGATACTTAAGTTATATCACTTCTTGTAAAATAGACGGCGGTTCTGAGTAGAATCCGACTGTGCACACTGGACAGAGTATATTATATATATAATATTTACACCCGGGAAGACACCCACACGGAACCTGAAAATTGACCTTTGGAAGACTAGTGACTATTTTCCATTATGTTCCTCTACAACCCAGTGGTTTTCAGGTTCCATGGTAATTTTCCAGGGTGTATATATATATATATATATTATATTATATATATATTATACAGTAATATCATCTACGGGACCTCGGTACCCCCACAAAAGCACCGATTCAGTCTTCCTTCTCCACTCTTCTCTACTCTGTGGGAGATGCGTGGATTGAATGCACTCAAGATTTTGTGCATATTGACATGTGTATCATGTCCTTTTCACTGTCTTGAACTTTGCATTGAAACGGGTCTCACATCCAAAAGTAATATCGCCCAATCGAACAAAACCCATTCGAAGCCTGCAGAAGAATCTTTGATTTTGGAGGCCTTAGGAGCTTATGATATCATAAGCTTAGACGCTTGCGCCGGCGCCGGGCGAAGCGGCAGGGAAGTAAGTCCCTCCGAGGCACTCCCGCTCCGCTTGGACCTCCGCCGGAGCCAAGAGGGGGCATGGAACTGCTGGTATAGGTATTGAATCTATTTTCTCTATACCAGCAGTTCAGGGTGAATGAGGGTTCATGGAGGGTCCATTGTTCTCCTGTTTTCTAATTGGAAGTCTTCGACCCTTTGAGGCTTTCCATGCGAATCGACCCTTTGAGAAAGTCCATGCAGTGGTAGACCTTTCACCCCCGCCTTTGGACCTCAACATGCATCTCCAGCCTAGCGGCCTAGCGCGAGCTGGTGGACTCGTGTGTTTGGGCCGTCTGGGCAATCGTCTGGGCCAGTCCGAATGCTTGGACGATGAATTTCCGGTGCATGACTGTTTCATGTTCACACTTGGAGTGCTCCTTCAGCCGGGCACATCCGCTGGACAAAAACGTTCTTGGAGGAAGGAGCTTCACGAAGATGCGCCCAGGTGACCGGGTCGGGGCGACCGCGAAGAGACCCTTGGCTGAGCTTCCCACCGCCCGATGAACATGGGCTTTTGGTCGTTAAACACCAATGCCCAGGCCATCCAGCTGCTGGAAATGACTCGTAGACGTCGGTGGACGACCTCTTCACCCCGCTCCGCTCCACCGAGGCATCGGCGAGCTCCGCCGGCGAGCCACGGCCCAGAACGAGGCGGACCGGTGGTTCGGAGCACTTTCGAAGCCCGGGTGACTTCGTCATGGAGAAATTCTCAACTGCATGACTAAAGGCCGTGGTTGCCCAAAGTGATGTGAGTGGACCGCGTTTCCTGGACTGATTTTCTTTGGACATGAGCCAGAGCATGCTGGTCGTAGCTCGCCACGAGTCACGAGACCCGGGGAAACCCAACCGCAGCTGTGAAACTAACAGCTCCTGCGTCTGCCAGGCTGATGGGGTGCTATGGCTGGCCCATAGCTTCGCACCTTTGGAGGCGTTGCAGGATGAACTCCTCTTAGGCGCTGCGCGAATCGCGAGTCGCTGCTTTTGAACGCCCTTTCATTGGGGGAAGTTCAGGTGGGGCGCAGGTCTTGGAGGTCACCGGAACGAGCGAGCGGAAGAAGAGAAGAAGTCGGGTGAAGAGAGCCTTTGGCAGTCGAAGTGTGGAAAACATCACTTTTTACAGTTCACGTAGTGCAGAAGGTGCAGAATCCATTGCATACCCTGAGTCAAGTACTTTCCTTTTAGTTCGGCAGATGCAACACCATGTGCGAAAATCGGTGACCCTCCCCGACAGACGGATGTTTTCCTTCAGTGAAAAGCACCTCTTGGGCCTTCAAAAGTCACATGGCCAACCTACTAAGGCCATGGTCCTCCGTCCACGTCCAGCTTGGGGACTGGGATTCCTTCGGTTTTCCTCACGGAACCGGATTCAGGTGTGTCTACTAGTGGTACGGTTTCCTGTCGGCATGTTCGACATGGGAATCTACGAAAGTCTATACTCCAGGGCAGATGCACCAGGTTGTCAGAGGCCTCAGGTGATCCAGCCCCACAGGTGCCACAGCAAGAGTTGCTCCTAGTAAGGCCAGGAGCGCCCCTTACGTCGGTCGCCCTTTAGTTACTAAGCGATGGGGGCTCGGACCGTTGGATCTGTTTTCTTCCAACGGACCGACCAAAGGTGCCGAGGTGCCACCCTTCGCATGGAGCAGTCTGGATGTGCGCGTGGTGCGGCCCAAGGTGGGGCGACGGGCCGCTCGTGTGGCGCGCGTGTGGGTCGGGGGGGTTGGGGAACCGGAGCGACGGTCGAGTCAAACCCGTTTGGTTTTTCACTGGGTCGTCGGGATGAACAGAACTGGGCATCGGTTGAATCGGTTGGAGGTTTCTGGCGGTTTCTGCGGATGAGATGTTGGGTTGATCGCGGATACCCCCC